CACGCCAGACAAACAGCGTAGAACAAGAAAAATGGCAAGAACCTTAAGACACAAGAAGGAACTGACGGCTTCCCAAAGTAAAAGAAAACACTGATGCTGCACAGACTGAGGCAGCCTAAGATCAGGAAGCACATCGGTCCTCCAGCAGATCTGACAACAGGTGTGTTGTAGTTGACGGCAAAGAGAACAGACACAACTAATGTGAGGCCCTCTAAGGCCACAGCACCGAGCATGATCACTATGGCCGAGCTGTCTGTAAACGGTATGAACTCCACCAGCCGCAGATTGCAGGATGTGCTTCCCTCTGCAGACCATTCTGTGTCCTTGCAGCTGATGCAGTTGTAGGGATCCTCTGTTTTACATGAGGGACAGACAGACAACAGACAAAGATTAACATTAAATAGACTTGAAGCAGCAGTTTCAGGCACCTAACCCACGATACAGTATGCTCTCCTAATATGAGTTTTAACTTTAAATAAAACTTTACAATTTGCACTCTCAGACTCTAGAGGTAACTGTAACACAACTACTATGTCAAGAACCCACTGAGCACAGAACAGGTGGACACAATTGCACAACACAGTCAGGTTCAGGCAGGGTTCGGTACACAGGTGATCAGTCAGTAAGGCAGAGGTATCCAAAGACGAAAAAGACAAGGTCGAAGGCAGAAAACGAAGTTGTACACAAACAGACTATGACTTGACTATGAAACGCTGGGACGAGGACCGTGAAGTACAACGAACTGGCAACGAGACTGTGAGACACACAGGGTAAAATACAAGAAGTAATGAGGGAGGATGGGAAACAGGTGAGGGAAGTGAACCGAAAACAGAGACAACAGGTTAGGGATTACAAAATTAAACAGGAAAGACAAGACATGAAATGTGCAAACATAAAACGGACACTTGACGGACATGACATACTAATTTTTTGCTCGGACATGTGCAGGGATCAGAATGAAAGTGTTAAACCATCTCAGACTGTAAACAGCTGAATAACAATCTGACATTAGCTCCCGTCAAATTAAGACTGATTTCTTTGACCTGTTTTCTTCATCTCATGCATATTAGTTTACCTGTACTGTTAACAAAAGTTCCGTTTCGACAGATTCTACAACTGAAGCAGCATTTGTGGATTCCATCTTGTTTTCTCACGTATCCTGCAGAACATTCTGGGGAACACACTGAAGTAGGCACCTGTACAAGACAAATGTAAGTGCAGGAAAGCAATAGGGCATGTTCCTAATATTCTGGTTTTCCCCCGTTGCAGCAATTTCTAAATGAAATCTTTTTTCATCCCCACACACATCGAGGCAGAAATGAGAAACTTAAAACAACGTACCACCAAAGGAAAAACTACTTACTTCTCCATTTGTGTACCACTGAATTTTGGAGCTATTGATAAAGAAATTGACCGATGGATGAAATTTATAAAAGCCGATCTCCTGCACATCACCACTTTGATTCCAGTAAACTATATCGTAGGATCCAGATGTAGGGTCACCAAACTCATCAAACTCAATATTCCTGTTTAAAAGGGTAAAGTTTGACTTCTTCAGCTCTGCTAGAACCTGACATGGGTACACAAAGATAAAATCGCTGTTATTGCATTTGATTTCACAATGATTTAATAGGTCACAAAAACATATTTCACCAGTAATTTGATTTAGTATAGTCTTATCCACAGGTTAAAGCTGCAATAATTATAAATGCAAAACAGACAAACAAACAAAAAAACAGATATTGAATTAACTGAGTAACTATTTTTATACTCACCATATGTGGGTACACTGTAATATTGCTGTTGCACTGAACAACTCCACATTTCAAGACCTTGTGTAAGGCATGAGCAATGGCATAAACAGCAGAATAAACAGGAAAGGAAAACGACGGGTCAATGGAGACCACATCCTCCGGACTCAGGCTGCTGCAGTTGCAAACCTGGTTACAAAGCATGCTTTGTTCTTTGTTTTCACAGTGTGGCTGGCTTTTGATAGAATAGATAAAATCATTGAAACCAGGTATTGGTACCACTGGCTGAGACACCCCAATAACAGTTCCAATATTTTTGATTTCTTTCATCTTGGGGAGTCTCTCATTTAAGGACCAGGTGTCTCCTGCTATCCACACCTTGTTTGTGACATTCATTTGCATCGCCGACTCAATGAGAGCTTCAGCGGTCAGCTTTGTAACAAAAACAATAACAACCTGTATCCCCTGTGACTCGATCTGTTGGAAAATCTGCGGGTAATTTGTCTTGCCATTCAGGCCTTTGTTATACGCCAGGCAGATCTCAGTATCCACAATCCTCTTCATGAACAAATCCAGTCCGTCAATTCCAAAATCATTGTCACTGTTCAGGAAAGCAACCCAGCGCCATTTGAAGTACTGTATGATGTTGACAATCACTTCTATGATTTTTTTGTTGGAATTCACTGTCCGCAGAAAAGACGGAAATTTAGCTTTCTTTGAAAAAGCAGAGCTAGCAGCTCCATAACTGACCTGTCGATAGAATGAGAGGAGTTGTCACGATTTTGGGCCACAATAAATTGCCAAACATAAAGTTTAACGTCGTTCCATATGGTAAAGACTTAATTAAGTGTCAATTAAAATAAAATTTTTAAAAAAATGTTAATATTTGGTGAACTTACCACAGGAAAGAGATTCATCATGAAGAATGGAGCTACAGTGAGGGTGTCGGTGCTTGAGAAAGGGCCGACCACTGCTATCACTTCTTGGGAGAGACTTTTGTGATTTTCACCCCAAGGTTGAATCAAGTCATTGACTGAGATGAGTTTCAAAATTCCCGGGAAATTATGTGTATCTGAGCAGTGATCAAATATTTCATAACCAAGAGACACATTTGGCAGTAGGCTGGTGGAGTTATTGATCTGGTCTACAGTGAATCTCATCAGCTGAAACCTCCGATAACTTGACAAGATGAAGGTTTGGCTGTGAGCAAGAAAAGCAAAGCAGAGGTGATTAAAAATTAAATCAACACTTTAAGTCTGAAGATCCCCACACAGCAGTGAATGTTACATGAAGTAAAGTACACATTCAAAGTTGTAGACTTTGATAATTGAGCAATTAATTCATTTTTTAATATTTTTTTGAATTTATTTAAAGGGGAGTACGAGTTTAGTTATATCAAGAGTTTCATCTTATCTGCAAAAGGTTTGTTACAAAACTCACCTGGAGCAGTCGATGGCTTCTGGTCTGTCCTGATAAAAACTGGTACTGCTATAATGAATATCAAAGATTCCACCTATTAAATAATCTCCTTTCAGCTGAAACTCTGATGTGGGGGCAGTGCATTGAGTCAAGCCATATATAAGAGATCCCAGCAGACACAGTGGAGCTAGAAAATGCTTCATTGTTGTAGTTGGCGTTTACCCATCTGATGTGGGCTCTTGAAGATGAGCCTCTGCTTTTAAATAGCTGTACAATGCCTGTAATGACAAGCTCCCAGTGTTCATTTCACTGTTCTTGGGGTTGCATGACTTCGGTTGTCATGAATACATATTTGAAATGGTCGGAGGACAATTTACAAATCAGTATGCAAAACCTATGAAGATGTACAAGACTCCCTCTGATGAGTACAACAAGTGGAACGCCTCAGCCCTGAATGAATCCTGGTGTTCTTATTTTTAGTTTGAACTGCTAGATATTTGATCATATGCATAATTCTAAACAAACAGCAGAGATAGACTACATTGAATGTATGGTCCCCAAAGTACAAAGTCTGTTCCAAAAGAAAACCATCACTGTAATGATAGAAAACTAAAAGACCTTTCTGAACATTGTTTGGTCAAATGAAGCCAAAATCAATCTGCTTGGGTCAGATGGGAACCAGCATTTTAAACATGGATCTGGCAGCGACTACAATTCAAACTCTTCAAGAAAGAATTGAATCTCAGAGATGTTTCAAATATAGGTCACCAGAAACAGTTCCATCTAAGTATCATCTAAAAAAAAAAAAGCAAGCATAGATGGATAGGAAACTAGAAATTTACACATGACCTGGTAGACCTATGGACCACAAATCTTGTAAAAAGTCTTAAAAATAATTTAGATAGTAATGAAAACATTTCATCACAAGCCTCCGAAAACAGTCTGGAACAAAGTTCTGTAGACCGAGTAAACAAAAATCTACCTCTACCCAGTGTTTTGAGAAAAATAAACATGGATCTGCATTTATGTTTAATTTCACAACTGACATAATCAACAGGTTTAGAGACATTTGGAAGTTTTCCCTTTTGTTGGTTATTGTTGTTGAATCATGGTCAATTTAATAAGAATTTTTTGACAAGAATTTGCCAATAAAAGACTTTCATGTCAAAGTGAAAACAGATTTATACAAAGTAATGTCATATTAATTAAAAATATAGCTTGTGAAATAAGTTATGGCATAAGTATTTACCCCCTTCAAGTCGGTATTTATGAGATGCATCCATGGCTGCAGGCTGCAAGGTGGCTTGGTGGTTAGCACCGTTGCTTTGCAGCAAGAAGTTTGCCGGTTCGCCTCCTGGTGAGGACACCCAGGATCTTCCTTTATATCTTCTCCCCGTGCAGCGTGGGTTCTCTCCGGGTTCTCCGGCTTCCTCCCACACAGTCCAAAAACATGTTGAGGTTAATTGGTGATTCTAAATTGTTCGTAGGTGTGAATGTGAGTGTTCTTGGTTGTCTGTCTCTAAGTGTAGCCCTGTGATAGACTGGTGACCTGTCCAGGGTGTCCCCTGCCTTCACCCTGAGTCGGCTGGGATAGGCTCCAGCCCCCCATGACCCTAGTGAGGATTAAGTGGTGTATAGATAATGGATGGATGGATGGATCCTTGGCTGCAATTACAGCACTGAGCCTGTGTGGATAGGTCTCAGTCAGTCTTGCACAGTGGGACATTTCAGTTTTACCCCAAACTGCTGAACAGTTCTGTCAGGCTACATGGTGATTGTGAGTAAACAGCCTTTTTCAAGTCTGGCCACAAATTCTCAGTTGGATTGAGGATTTAGCTCTGATTCTGACATACCCTACATTCACCCTGTTGTCTTTAAACCACTTCTGTGCAGCTTTGTCTGCATGCTTCAGGTCACTGTTTTGCTGGACAGTAAATCTTTTCCCAAGTCACAGTTTTCTTGTAGACTGCATCAGGTTGCCTTCCTGGACTTCCCTATGATTGCCTGCATTTATGTTACCTTCTACCATTACAAGCCTTCCAGTATCTGCTGCTATGAAACATCCCCACATCATGATGCTGCCACCACCATGCTCTATGATGTGGATGGTGTGTTGATGTGTTTTGTTTGGTGTCTGGTGCCTGATGTTCAAAATCCTCAATTTTGATCTCATCAGATCAAAGGACATTTTTCCGTTTGATTTCAGAGTCTCTCACATTCCTTCTAGTGAACTCTAACTGAGATTTAATATGAGTTTTTGTTCACAGTGCTTTTCTCTTTGCGACTCACCCATAAAACTTTGACATGGGGCAGTTATAGCCAGGAGTACTGATTCACTAGTAACTGACTAACTTTCAGATACAGGTGTCTTTACATTACAACCACCTGAGACACATTTAGTACATTCAGATGTTCTCTATTTTACTAATTGACTTCTGGTACCACTTGGCTGTACCTGTGTTAAATTAGATGAGCCAGTTTTATGAATCTGTTTTCACATGGACACAAAAAGGTCTTTTTTTGATAAATTCTTATTAAGAATTCAGTTAAATGGACCATGATTCAATGTTTAAAAGCAATTACTGGGTAAAGCTTCCAAGGGGGGAGTGAACACTTTTTACACACACTGTATATATTCAAGTTTAAATAATTAAAATGTCTGTGAGTATGTATGCAAGTGCACAGATACAACACCTGGAAAGAGCAACCAAAGATTATCTTTTCATACACTAGGCCCATGACAGCTGAATGTTAACCGATGAAAGTTAGTAAAGATTTGACTGGAACTGTCAATAACTGACAATAAGGACATGGGACCTTGATGTTAATTGTGAAATATTTTCCCCTCATATATGCATTGTTCATATTTGTAAAATGAATAGTTTTCAAAGTGAAAGTTTTGACAGTATAATGAAACTTTTTTATTCTGAATCCAAGCTTTGCTGTAGGGATGAGCTATGAATGACAACACTGAAGTCAAGATGAGGCTGTAGGATCGCGTGAGGTCACAAGCAAATACAGACAAATTAATCAATTAATTCAACCCGGTGTCTTTGGTTTATGCTAAAATGCAGCATCCTCTTACAAATGAGTTCTGCATGATCTAACCTTTGGCCACACTGAGGTCATTTGACAGAAGATCATTTGCAATCTCTGTGCATGACAGTGATAGATGGCCAGACCATGAGCTGGAGTCTCACCAAAGTTTGAGTTTGAATCCTTGTTCTGCTTGAAAGTAGGGCATGGGGTCAAAAAGATAGACATGAGAGGAGAGATGCGTACAGGGCTGATGTAGTGGTTGCTAAAAAAGTATAGGTAAAAAGTGTTTTGGAAGCCATGCAGTTGGGTAAAGTACTTTACAGTAAGTTTTGAAGATAAGTAATCACTGCTGTGAAACATTTGCACTTTACTTCCAGGAAATCTCTTGCTAATCAGGACTTGCACGGTTACATTTTGGTTTTGTGTAAGTTATGTCAAATTTGACGTTCCAAATGTAGTGGTCCTTTGACTCGACCAACACAACATCTATCCATCCATTATCTATACACTGCTCAATACTCACTAGTGTGGTGGGGCTGGAGTCTATCCCAGCTGACTTAGGGTGAAGGCAGGGGACACCCTGGACAGGTCACCAGTCTATCTACAATCAAGCACACTCCCATTCACACCTACGGACAATTTAGAATCACCAATTAACCTGGGCTGTGGGAGGAAGCCGGAGAACCCGGAGAGAACCCAGGCTGCACGAGGGGAACATAAAAACTCCACGCAGAAAGATACCAGGTGTCCACACCGGGACGCGAACCAGCGACCTTCTTGCTGCGAGGCAACAGTGTTAACTACCAAGCCACCTTGTAGCCAGCTACTTCTGGATGGACAGGTCCGTTAGAATCAACAGTGCAACAAGTGTTTTTCTACCAACTTCTAAAAAATGTGAACAGGGTCAGCAGCAGCTGAAAGCAAACAACAAACTAAGCATGATTGAGTCACATTATTTAAATCTATTACAGTGGATCAATGCCATGTTTGAAAACATTTATTATATTAACCCAAGACAGATTAGGACAACTCTTAACCTTTTCATGATAGTTAGTTAGCTAGTGATATTAAAAGTCAACAAATCCTCAGCAGAATTCTGAAGAGAAATCCCATGTGGTTAAAAAGGTGAAGGGGATGAAATTGTCATAATTAAATACCGTACTCTTCTGTCCTTTTATTGAAAATTCTGCTTTTTTTGTCCTTAATTGATTTAGACTAATTTTCATTTAGTTTATTTTTGTATGATTATCAGGATATATTGCTCAGTTATTATGACCTTATAATCCCATAGTAAATTGGCCAAAATCTGGTTAAAAATGAAAAAAAAAACAATTAACCCTTAATGTGCACTTATGTACAGCACATAAGCACTGACATCAAGGGCACATAGGCCCATGCATATTATGTAAACAATATAAAAATGTAATATATTTTTCTATGAAGCTGTATTTAGGTGTTCTTCTACACCCCTTATCTATTTCTGGCATGCTACTTTTATCTGCTGTTGGAATCAACTCCACTGACTGTATTTGGGCCAAACAGCATTGTTGATGCTGAGCAAACTTCCTGTTGACCACAGATTTACATTTAATCTCCACCTGGTGTTTGTCAGGAAGAAGCTTTTATTATTCCAAGGTAATGTATAAAATCTTCAGTTTATATTTAAAGTTGTAGAACAAGTGCATAAAAGACCAAACATCAACCATCCACAGCTTGAATCTCAATACAAAACATAAGTTCACAGTAGAGTAGAGCTCGACTGATACTGTAGCTTTAGGGAGTGATGATTCCCACTACCAATATATCAACCAACGTTCTTCACGTATATGTTAGTTATACTGAAGGGAGACAATGATGGGGTCATCCTCTATTTACTATCTTGAACTGTACAGCACTTCTACATGTGTTGCACAGAGTTTTGTTAAGCAATGGGGTCCGGAGAACATTTTGCTGTACAAACTACGAGTTCACAACATTTCTAAGTTAATTAATTAATTGTCTTTTTCAGCATTATGATCTGTAAGAAGTTTTGATATCAGAACAACATATGCTGATGCAGATATACAGTTAAAACCAGAAGTTTACATACACCATATAAAAAGGTATATAACCTTTATTTCTTGCTGTCTGACACTAAATCAGACTAAACTTTTCCTGTTTTAAG